CCTGTCCTGGGCTGCTCCCAGCCCAGCTCTGCCTCTGCTGCCCCGGCCACAGGGCTGGCACAGCCAGGCTGGCACAGCCAGGACAGGGGCACTGCGGTGGGCTGGCCTAAATTGGGGTGGGAGCTGTTCTAGGGGAAATGCCCCATTTCTGCAGGGGGTGAGGGAGTGCTGGGGTCGTGTTTGAGTCTTGGGCAGCAGCCCCTGGGGTGGTTTTTTATGTAAAGAACCATTATCAGCAGCCCCTGAGATGGTTTTTTGTGTGTAAATCACCATTATTGTAATAATTTCCCCCTGGTGCTGCTGCTGAAGCTGCCCTGCCTCATTCGTGTGTGTTTGCTCCAAGAAATCCCAGAGCAGCTTGAGATCCTTGGGCACCTTGAGTATCCCAAGTTGCAGAATGGTTTGGGTTGGATGGACCTGAAATATTCCTGCCATGGGCAGGGACATCCTGCAGTACCTCAGGGTGCTCCAGCCTGGCCTTGGGCACTGCCAGGGATCCGGGGCAGCCACAGCTGCTCTGGGAATTGTCCCCAATATCCCTCTCACCCTGCCCTGTCACTTTGATCCATTCCCTCCTGCCCTGTCCATCCTCATGTCCAGAGTCCCTCCCCATGCCACAGCCCCAACATCCCTCTCCCAGAGCTCAGCTCTCCCCAGGAAATGCTGCTCTGTGCATGGCAGAACTCCCCAAAGCCATTTTCCTTGTGCTGCATGGGAAGGGCGATGCTGATTCTCCCTTGCTGCCCCCAGCAGGTGCCAGGTGTTGCTCAAGTTCTCACCTGTGCTGCTGCAGAGGGCGGCACCTCTGCCTTGGGAAGGGATTTGGGATCTGTTCCGGATTAGAGCATTGGCTCTTCCTGTTTCCCAGGTGTGACCCAGCTCTTCCACCTGGCTGTTCCTCAGCCCTCCCAAACTGCTCAGCTTCCTCTGAATTTTAAGGCAAAGAAGTGAAGAGAAAAGGAAAAACAACCATTGAGGTTCTGTGGAAAACTGGTAATTAAAGAGGTGTTTTGTCAGCACTTTTGGTTGGGATCCCATCTTGATGTGGTCGCCTCATTTGAATGTAAATGTCAAATTCCAGAGCTCCTGGAGGAGAGGGATTGGGTGACATCCTGCTGAGGGAAGCACAAGCTCAGGGGTTTCTGTGAGCCCTGGGTGCTGCTTGTGGGCTGGGGGGGTCTGGGAGGAGAGAGGTGAGAAACTGAGCTTAAAAAAAGAAAATAAAATGGCATTGCTGAGGTCACAGCTGGGGTGCTGTGTCTGAGGGACACAGAGGGGCTGGAGAGAGCCCAGAGAAGGGAATGGAGTCTGGAAAACATCTGAGGGAGCTGGGGAGGCTCAGTCAGGAGTGACCTTGTGGCTCTGCACAGCTCCTGGCTGGGGGGCAGCCAGGAGGGGTCAGGTTCTGCTCCCAGGGACAGCAGGACAAGAGGGAACAGCCTTGAGTGACACCAGGGTGGGTATGGGGACAATTTCTGCATGGAGAGAATGACTGGGCATTGCCCAGGGAGCTCCCGTCCCTGGAGGTGGCTCTGGGCTGGGGACAAGGTGGGGATTGCACACAGCTGGGGCTCAGGGATCCTGCAGGGCTTTTCCAACCTCAGGAATTTCATTCCAGTGTTGAGGAGCAGCGTCCAAAGGCAATGGGGAATCAGCTGGATGTGGAACATCAGCTCAGGGAGGTGCAGAGCTTCCCTCACCCCCATTCAGCACCCAAAAAATGACATTTTTCCTGCCTGTGTGTGCCAGGCTGACCTGTGTTGCCACAGCTCCCCTGTGTTGGGGTTTTGGAAGCTCTGAGGGGGCTCAGAGCAGGGCTGGGGCTGCACAGGGAGTCCCACCAGGCTGTCAGTGATGTTCCTGAATCACCTGGAGGGTTCTGCTGCTGCTCCAACCCCTCCTCCTCCTCCTCACGGGCTGTATTTCACCTCAGTGCTTCCCTCTCAGCTGGGCCATTCCCACACTTGTCCCCCAGTGCCACTTTTGGGGTGCAGTGTGGCACTGGAGCCCTGCAGAGCCCCCCAGGGCCCTGGAGCACCCCAGGCGGGCAGGGAGGGAGGGAACGGAGCTGCTGGGAAATAAATGCAGGTCAGGAGTTGAGGCTCCCCCTTGGTGGCCCATTCAGGCCTTGCCTTGCCAGGCAGGGACGAGCTGTGGTTGTGCCAGCGGCTTTGGTCACTGTCACCTGGCTTCAGCACATTCCCAAGTGGATTTTGCCCACCCCATCGTGGCCTTGAGCCCTGGTGCCATGAGCAAACCGTGGATTTGGGGTGCTTGGAGCAGCTTTTGAGTCACCCACCTTTCCCAAAAGCCCAAACCCATCCTCTGGAACGCTCCATTTCCCATTGGAGCTGTTGTCAAGGGAATGGGGGGATGTTTTAGGGCCTCAGTCTCTGGCTGTGGCTGCAGCATGCAGGCCCTGAGCCCATTCCTGGGGGGCTCAGGACGCCCCCTTTGCCCCCAGCAGCCCTGGGCAGGGCGGCCGTGGGACACAAAGGCCGTGTTGTGTGCGGGGTGGCCGAGTTGGAGCAGGCTCCAGGGGCAGTCTCATGACCCTGCAGCCATTCCCACACTGTGGGGATGATTATCCCAGCCCCGGGCTGGGGGGGGACCTTGTCTGGCTGCTCCCCAGAGCTGGGCTGTGTGGGGACAGACACAGCTCCCTCAGGACCCTCCAAACGCTGCACGCAGCTCCAGCTCCCTGGCTTTGGGAGGAAAACAATTGTAAAGCATCTTTTGTGGAGAGGGGGAAGCTCCAGTGGTGGCTTTGGGGCTGGCAGGGATGTGGGATCTGCTCCAGTCAGGTTTTGGGGGGCTCTGGAGCTGCCCCGGTGGGAGTGGGACAAGTGGGGCTGAGGCAGCAAAGCCTCCCTG